ACAAGTGTTTTTTGTAGTTTCATTGCATGGGGCATTAATTGCACGCTGCCGCTCCACAGGGCCGTGATGTAATTAAAGATTCTGATGCCAAACCACCGCAGTGTTTCTGGGGAGTTTTGTCAGTAACTGTATTCTGCTGTGGTTACAGGACTGTAAATGTGCAGATATGTTTCTATGTCAACATGCAGTTGCATGCAAAATGCAAGTGCATTTGCAACCAATTTTACTTCAGAAATGTGAATGCAGTTTTGATCATACATAAAATTATTAAATACCTTAAATTACATTATACATGACATTATTTCATCCAAATGCCAAATGACATTTTTACTAAAAATAGTAAATAATGTTTTTTATTTTGTAAGTATGCAATGTAGCGAGGTCATGTGACAACAATATAGCATACTACAGTTTGAAATGCTCATAATTATGGATTACATTTATATTAGCAATGTAGTGCTGTGTGTATGTGTGTGTGCTATATAAAATTATTTATTAAAATATGTGTATATTAAATTATATTACAATATAAAATTATAAATTAAATTACTTTATATATCTATATTATTTTTATTATGTTTTTATTTATTATTTTATTAATGTATTTAGCAATAAATGCATTTATTTATATATATATATATATATACACACACACACACATTCAAGGGAATGAGCTGATGAAATATATACCTTGAACATATACCTTTATTCAACATAAGTTGCTTTGGATAAAAGCATCTGCTAAATGAAAAGTTGGGCATCAAATGCACAAGATAAAGGTTTCTTTTTCTTTCTTTCTTTTTCTTTCTTTATTTTAAATTTTTGGAGAGATGAGTGGATGGGTTAAGGATGAAAGACAAACTCTCAGACTCTCAGAAAGGAGCAACAAACCTAAAGAACACACACAGGCTCTTGAAGCACGAGAGGATGCAGAGAAAGAGAGGGATTGTGGGAGCTGTCAGCGGGCGTAGTGGGAAAGCTGATTCTGGCAGAAAAGCGTTGTGGGTCGCCAGAGCGAGAGGAGGGACACAGTTGGCAGGCGCTAAATGTTTGAGAGCGGACACATGCTTGCCCAGTTGGCAGGATGCCACCCTTTAAACCCAGCCTGCGTTGCTGAGGCCGTGCGTGCGGCGGACACCAAACAGGTGCTGCACATACTGTAGGCATCAAGAGTATTAATACAGGACAAGTGGACTGTGTTTGAAATAGCATGCAAGCATACTGTTCATGAAATACTGTGTCCCTGTAGCTAATGAACCGGAGGCGATGTCAACCACAGGTTTTAATCTCCTCTTTGACTCATCATTTAACCAGACTTCCAGAGATTTATACACAAAATTGTGCTGAAAATGCAAAATAACTGGATGCAGCATGCAAAACTGTCACATGACCTCCCTACGTTGCATGTGTAATCATTTCATACTGCATACTTTTGCATATTATTTTTTTTAAATAATAGGTGGAATGCATACTGTACTGTCAATGTGCAGTATTACATACTAGACATTATTTCATCACAATACAAAAAACGAAATAAAACATTTAATTTTGTAAATCACAAGCGGCACGATTACACATGCAATGTAGTGATGTCAACAATGTTAATAATTATGGTATACATTTATATTAGCAATGTGTGTAACAATTTAAGTTATATGAAAAAATGTATTGTTATATTCATATTCATATTATATATTATATTACTTGCATTATATTATATTTCTATTAATTATTATACTAACCTAGTATTTATTTTATTTATATACATGATTATACATTTTAACAGTGCATATATATTTTTATTATATAATGTTTATATATGTAATTACGATTATTTTACGATAATTACGATTATATTGTATATATTTAAAATATTATATACATTTTATATACACAGACACATGCATATAAATGTAAATTTTGTGATATAAAATTGTTGTTAAATTATAAGAATATAAATGTAGAAATTTCTATTTTTTATGTAGTACGTTTTTTCATCATTTTATATTTATATAAATATAATTGTGTGTGTGTTTTCAATTTTTTTGTTTCGTACGTGAGTAAGTTTTTTCGTAATTTTATATTCACAACCACATTCATGTTCCTGATTTTAGAAAATGTCATGCATATAAATCTGCATACTATTACAGTATACATACTTCATATTGCAGATAGAGTATTAGTATGTTTTTCCATACACACTCACTCATTTTGATCGATTTGGATCACGGTAGAACCGACTCCGTGTTCAGTTAATCAGGTCTGACATGTGAATGAAGCTTTCTGGGAAAGTGCAGTGTGTGAGAGGCCATGTCATGCGCTCACACACACACACACACACACACACTCAGGCCCAGTCTTTGTTGATTGTTTACTGTGTGTGTGTAATTCTCTCCTCACACACACAACAGGCTCTTTGTGTTTGCGTGAGCTCCTTCAGCAGACCCTCGTGTTGGGGACTTTGGCTTCAACAGCACATTTCTGTACATTAAGGGTCATTGGGTTTGTGTGTGTGTGTTTGTGTGTGTGTGTGTTTCCACCCTGAGGCTGTAAAAACTCACCTGCCTGTTCATCAACGATTGTTATTTCTTGATTTCCAGTGCATCATTCACTGGTGTTGCTGTCCTGGAGGTTCTGTCCAAACATTTTTTTTTTTCTGATGTCTACAGCCACAATGTGTGTACAACAGCTAAAGTGGTCATATTCAGTACTTTTGTTGAGTTTTTCCCCTTGAAGTGAGTTTATAATGTTAGTCAAGGTTTCTGGCACCAAGAACAGTCAGGACATGTGACAGTGTCATGTTGTCAATGTTGATTCACTACAACAGTCAAATTAAGATCAAATCAGTTGAAATTAAATACTTTTTCTGCAGAACCTCATTGGTATTTTGAATGGAAATGTATAAATATTATATAATTATTTTAGGACTGTAATAAAAAAAAGAATAATATTGCACAGTCAATATTGCTACTACTGCATACAATATACATATGGTTAGAAACAAACAAGGAAGGCAGAGCCTATAAACATTGAGTTGGATGTTATTCAACAATTATATTTAAATATATTTGATTTGATTATTAATACCAGCTTACAGTCATCGTCAGGCAGTGATTTCATAAGTTATATAGGTTATTGAACAGTGGTTTCTGTATTTTTTTAGTTTAGTTTAGTCAGAAGAACAGTCTGTTGATGTTCCCCTTTTAAAAGCACTGTGTGTATTTTTTCTTTTTTTTGTTTCTTGTTAAATCTATGTTCTAAGGATTTGGTAAGCTTCTTCTCTCATGTTATAAGTTTTTCTCTCTCCGATCAGAACGAAAGAAATGAAGCAGATGTATCTGAGGAGCCGATATAAGCTGTGAATCGAAGTTTGTAGTCTGTCTTTGCTTGGGGCCGTTTAGTGTTTTCTGTGATGGTCACCTGTTGAAATGATGTTCCGTTGAGTTTCCTGTGTCTTATTATTACATTCCGCTCTCTTCACTCCATTTGTTTTCTTTTCTGTCTTCGAATGCACTTTTGCTCCACTGAACAATAAAGGGCAGCACGTATGTTAATCATTTGTAGGAATTTGAAAAAGCTTTTGCTGAACACCTGCCGAGCATATGAACATATCAGCTACCAATACTAATGCATTTCATTTGAACAGATTGAAGATCAGAGAGAAGTGTTCTCCTGACTTTTATGGTTTTAATTTTTATATACTGTATATGTTTATATGTGTAAAATATTTGAAAATTAACAAGTATGTTAAATAAAAAATAATACAAAATGTTCAAAATAAATACAAAATATATAAAATAAATAAATAAAAAATAAATAAATAAATATCTTTTAAATGTGTAAAGTTCAAGATAAGGAAAATGTGTTTAAAATAGCAAATAAATTAGATAAAAATAATAGAATTTAAATAAAATACATAAAAATAAATAAATATATAAAATAAATGTTAAAAAATAATAATAAATATATTTTTAAATGTGTAAAGTTCAAGTTTTGCAAAGTCAAGTAAAATATATTTAAAAACAATCAAATTAAAATAAAATGCATAAAAAATAATAAAATAGAAAATAAATAAAATATATATTTTTTTAAATATTCAAAAAAGATATATATATTTTTTAAATATTCAGTTCAATATTCACAAAGTCATGTAAAATGAGTTTAAAATATACATATATATTGAATAAAAAATTAAATACATTTTATATATATACAGTGGGTACGGAAAGTATTCAGACCCCCTTAAATTTTTCACTCTTTGTTATATTGCAGCCATTTTATCGCGACAGCCCTATATATATATATGTGTATATATATTTAAAATTCAAGATCCATAAAGTCAAGTAAGCTTTAATTGTGTTTCAGAGCTGCTTTTGTCAATCAGCGATTCCTTATTGACTGATTTTGGATTGAAATAACACGTAGTCGACCATCACTATTACTATTGTTCACACTCAGGTAGAGAGTTTAGCAGTCTAATAATAAAGTCTTGAACTTTGGTCTGCATTTCATCAGCAACCTCCTAGCAACACCCTAGCAACTGCATAGCAACACCCTGGCAACCACCGACAACACTTGTGCAAAATGGCGGGAACTTTTGCACAGGCAAACGCCACACACGTTGTTTTAAAAAATGCAAAAATCTAGTTTTACGTGTCTCTGTAAGCAGATACAGGCCGTGAGTCTAAAGTGACAGATCGGCGTGGAAAATCTAGAGACTTTAAATCTGGGTTGTCATGGAAACCATTATCTCGGTTTTCTGTCCCCAGGCTGTGCTGTCATATTACACGTCCCATGGTTTCGCTTCCCTGTGGGCACAGATATCAGTTCAGGGGAATTCCTGCAAAACCAACAGGTCCGAAACCAGTTAAAAGTCATCGTCGGGCAGTGACGTCAGAAGGTGGTTTCTCTGTTTTTTGAAGTTGAAGTGTGCAGGACGTGTTGTTTTTAGCACACGGGACAGTATCACATGCTATGCTAACAGGCCGCCGCTGATAGAGGGATGTTTGGGCTTTATCTCACTCACCGATGCTAATTTTGGTTGCTGGTCATTGCATTTCTCTTCTCTCCTTCCAACAGCGGCTGTTTGGCCTGAAGCTGCGGTCATTCGATATGAACGTTACGCAAACTCTGCTTAACTGCTCTTTACTCACAGCAAAGCGTATTTACTGTGAATGAATACAAATATTACAGTTTACCCAAAGAGGCACGATATTAAACTTACATTGAATAAACTTACATTATAATATTTAGTTTTTCTGCAATATATATATATGAAAAAACAGGAACATTCACCAGATGACTTAAAAGTAAATAGAAAATAAAAATAATTAAAAAAAAGATGAAACATATTTTGACTCTAAAGACTTTGTTTGAGTGTGAACCATTGTTTTAGGGCTGAACAATTGAGAAAAACCTGCTTATATTTGTTATAAGAACCAAGTGAAATCTAAATTTCAGTAACTATAAAGTGAACAAAGTTTAAAAAATCTTCAAAATTGGCATTCTCGCCATTTTTGACCCATTCAATATGACTATAAAATAATAAGTATGATTTTTACTGTGATTATTATTAAATAAAATATTAAACAAAATAGGAAATATAATTTAATAATATATTTTTTATTATTTATTTTATTATAAAATAAAACATTAAACAAAACAAGTTTAATAAATATTTATTTATTTTTTAAATTGTAAATCAGTGTCTGTCAGTGATACTATCTGATTACCTGATCCTTATTATAATTGTTTCAATTTTAAATGTAAATTAGGTTCTTTTTGTACCTTCAGTATTTTTAAAGATGGCAGATTGAGGATTAATTTCTGATATATGTAATATTAAAACATATCGCCCATTGTAATCAATGGTTCCCTGTTTTGAAAAGCAAAATAAAGATTTTAAATATATATATATATATATAATTTTATTTTAAAGCACAGCTGTAAAATTACAATACTAATATTTATATTAATTGTATATCATTTTTATTTGATATGAATTTATATACAAATTACAATACTAATAATTTGTTAATTTTGTTTTCATACGTTAAGCAGTGGAGCTTTTATTTTGGCGGTTTTCCATCAATCAAATAAATGTAAATAAATGAACACAGCGACAGACTTCACTCAGACTTCTATTTATTTAATGAAATCACAGCCTTTGTGATTTGATAATCACATTGCAGCCCAAATTCTGTCATCTTTGGATCAATTATGAAGTTTTGTAATACATTTTTTTTTAATACTCTAAAGTATCGTATTAATACCATAGTGCATGAATATGGTAATTATAGAGCACCTAGGTATCATCATTCACGTCCATTGTATGGAAGTGAGCAGTATGAATATGATATGTATATTCATTCTGGTGAACTGTGATGCCATATTTAATAAAACCTGTCGGATGACTAACCGATGACATGTGTCAGTTTGATCATGCATAATTCCTTTTTCTTGTTCTCTTCTCTTTCTGTCTGTCTGTCGCTCTCACAGAGGAAACATCACGCTGCCGAAGATCCCCGAGTCTAACATGGCTCTGAGCGTGTTAGGCGTGTTTCTGGGATTGCTTCTGGAAGTTTCCACACACGGACCCTCCAGCGTTCCCAGAAGCTCATGGAGGCACGACGGTGAGTGAAGGGTTAAAGTTTTATGTCAAAAAATGTAATGGGTGTGAAACACGTGTTTGCTGATGCTATATGCTATTTATACGTCTAACTTTCTGTGCTTGTAAAACATGCTATTTTTTAACATTGATAATCAGCATATTAGAATGATTTCTGAAGATCATGTGACACTGAAGACTGGAGTAAATGATGCTGAAAATTCAGCTGCGCATCACAGAAATAAATGACATTTTAAGAAAACGGCTTTTTTAAAATGAAATTATATATTGCATTATTATTGTATTTTTGATCCAATAAATGCAGCCTTGAGCGTAAAAGTCTCCTTTCAAAAACATTTATAAAACTGACAACCCCAAACTTTTGAACAGTATACAGTACAGCAGCACAGGAAGTGACATGTGTGGTGTTTTTAACACAAATAGCATCAGCACATACAGGCGTCCCGTCAGGGCTTCGGTTTGCAGCGTCTCTTGGGTCTCTGCCAAAAACACTGGCAACCAGAGAGCCGCAAGTATGTAGCACACACACACACACACACGCCCAGCCGGCAGCCAAACACAAACTGAAGTGTGCCAGTGACACATAAATCATCATCTATGAATGCATGTGCTCAAATATACTACTACATGCAGTGTATAAATATAATTGTTCAAGAAATACAATCACTTCATTTTGGGTTGGTTATTTGTGTTCTCCAGAAGAGGCTCTTTAACTTCTTCACTTTCTTAATACATGATATTGAATGCTGATTAATGTTCATTTAATGGCAATAATAACAGAAAGGATAGATTTAAAAAAGAAGCATTGACATTGGCTCCTGTGGAGATGCTTCTGCTGAGCTGACGTTGAAGGACAAACACACTTTTGGATGGAGATGTTAGCGTTTTATTGTGCTGAAGATGAAATGAATGACTCATGCCGCTTTATTTGGAGCAGTAAATCATCTGCTGCTGCTTTCACAGAGTTCAGGATCTCCTCTGGAAGAGATTCCGGCTGGAGAGTTCTATTTTTTACTGCTCTGAATACTCTTTTGAAAGTTTATTTCATTTCGTGTATTCATTCGGCAGACATAAATAGAGATGCAAATATTCCAGATCTATAAATCATTTTCTTGCTTCTCCAGAAAATGTTCCACATCTTTATTATATCCACAAAAATATGGAAAGATTTGGAATAATTAAGATTTGTAATGTTTTGAAAGAAGTCTCTTCTGCTCACCAAGGCTGTTTATTTGATCCAAAATACAGTAAAAATTGTGAAATATTTTTACAATTTAAAATAACTGCTTTCCATGTGAATATCTGTTAAACTGTAATTTATTCCTGTGATTTTCAGCATCATTACTCCAGTCTTCAGTGTCACATGATCTTCAGAAATCATTCTAAGATGCTCATTTGCTGCTCAAGAAACGTTTCTGATTATCATCAATGTTGAAAACAGTTGTGCTGCCCAATATTTTTTGTTGAAACCATGATATGTTTTATTCTTCAGGATTCACAGATGAACAGAAAGTTCAAAAGAACAGCATTTATTTGAAATACAAATCTTTTGTAACATTATAAATGTCTTTACTGGCACTTTAGATCAATGTAATGCATCCTAGATTAATAAAAAAAAAAAATTTTAACTTTTGAATGGTAGTGCATTACAGTTTCCACAAAGCATGAAGCAGCACAACTGTTTTCAACATTGATAATACGGTAATCAGAAATGTTTTTTGAGCAGCAAATGATTTCTGAAGGATCATGTGACACTGAGGACTGGAGTAATGATGCTGAAAATCATAGGAATAAATTACATTTTAACATTGATTCACATAAAAAGCAGTTATTTGACATTGTAAAAATATTTCACAATTTTTACTGTATTTTTGATCAAATAAATGCAGCCTTGGTGAGCAGAAGAGACTTCTTTCAAAACATTAAACATTTTAAAATCCAAACTATACATAAACATTCTTCAGACTTGCTTTCCAGATGTTTTTCTCTTTGAATGTGTGCTCTGATGTGAGCTGTGTGTGTGTGTGTGTGTGTGTGTGTGTTTGTAGATGTGGATCTGCTGGAGTTCTGGGCGCCGGATGTGTTCAACTACACGACTCTCCTGCTGAGCGAGGAGCGCGGCGTGCTGTACGTCGGCGCTCGAGAGGCCGTCTATGAGCTCAACATGAGCAACGTGTCAATCAAGAGTAACCAGGTGAGAGTTATTACAGGCGTCTGATTCCTGAGACAGCTGAAATCTCTTTTAAAGACTCTCACAGTGCACAGTTTTCCCCTGGTGTGATGCTGTATTGACTCTGTTCTGTTTCAGCTGCTGTGGAAAGTTCCAGAGAGCGACATGTCGATGTGTATTTTAAAGGGGAAATCTAAAGAGGTAATGTGGAAAAACAGACTCAAATTGACCTTAATCTGATTATTCTGCCACTGACGGTGGATTCTTTGTAAATATTTGATCCAGAAGGTGTTTTTTGATCTGTAACTGAAATGTTTTTGTGCTCGTGTGACAGACGGACTGTCGGAACTACATTCGAGTTTTGCAAGTGCTGGATGAAGACAGTCTGTATGTGTGCGGGACTCACGCCTTTCAACCTCTCTGTGATTATCTGGTGTGTGCATAAACCTTTCAAACATTTCAAGTGTCAGCCAAACTTGCCAACAAACACTCATCTTTATAAGATTGCATCCACTTTTTTTTTTTTTTAGCATTTTCAATAAATCTTTCAAGAAAGTGTTTTAAATCGTGAACTGAAGCAACCAACTCCCAGATGAATTACACTATAACATGTTGGATATAATTTGAGGCAAATAAGTATTTGAAAAATGAAAAAAAAAAAAACTTGTGTGAATTTGGTCACATAAAGCATTAGGAATGACTTCAGCTATTAAATACAGTTTTTTTTTTTTTTATTAAGTTTAAATGACACTGATTCATGGCTTCTACAGAAGAATATATAATCATTTTACATCTGAGCTAATAAATCACTTTCTCTGTGTTCCAGTGTTATTTTAGTATCATTAATATACTATTATAATATTTTGCATGTTTTTATATTTATATAATTTTTATTTTAGTTTAAGTTTTAGTTGTTTTGTTATGCACTTTTGTTATTTTTATTACTATCTTTTAATATTTTTATTTTTATTTCAGTTTTAGTAATATTATTACTTAAACTTACACTTGTTTCAATTATTTGCCATGGCAAAATCTTAAAGTTTATGTATTATTATTATTATTATTATTATTATTATTTTACAATTTCAATCTAATATTTAATTTAAATATTTATTTTTGAAACTATTTTTAAGTTATAGTAAATATTTAGATGATTTTTTTTAAACAATTTATTTGTTTTGGTTTTAGTTAATTACAACAATACTGCTTGCATTTTTAAATTTTGGAACTACTTGTTCCACTATAGATTTAAACACAAACGCTTTGTTACCAATTTCAAACTATGTGACATTTTGGTTTGTCAGAACTTCCCTGATATTTTGATTACAATGGCTCTGAATACTGCATTTCTGAATATTAATACAATAGTTTCCTCTTTCTGTCGCCATGAAGTCGGATTGTGTGATCATGTGACTCTGTAATCTGAACTTTATATCTGTTCTGTTTCTTATTTTGCTTTTGCATCCTAATAAAACTCAAACTTTGAGATGCATCTTCATGTCTTACTGTCTCATTTCTCTTCAGTCGCTGCAGGGTTTCCGTTTGCAGGACAGAGCAGAGGACGGCAGGGGGAAATGTTCCTTCGACCCGGCCCAGAGCTTCACCACTGTGATGGTTGGTGAGTTAACACACCAAACCACATCTGCAGGACAGTCTCAGTGTTTGTCTGCTGTCTGTCCAGTAGTACTGACTGGTTAACTGCTTGTTTGTTGTTCAGATGGTGAGTTGTACTCGGGAACGGCGTATAACTTCCTGGGCAGCGAGCCGATCATCTCCAGATCTTCTCTGTCTCAGAGTTTGCTGCGCACAGAGTATTCAACGTCCTGGCTCAACGGTACGACGCTAAAGTGTCCACAAAACTACATACAGTATGAGTACACGTGAATATACAAGTATGCAGAGAGAACCGTTGATGTAGACACACATTCAGATCATTTAATGAAGCAAAAACGACATCAACATCGAGTTATCGTTAATGAAAACCAAAACTAATAAAAACATTTCTGTTAATTAAAATAAAGATGAAATAATATGAAATGCAACTATTAGATGAAAAACTTCAACTAAATGAAAGTTAGAAATGTTGCCTCGGCAACCAACTGAAATAAGTTTAAGATGAAGCACTAAAATTACTAACTGGAAATAAATAAAAACTAAAATTAAATTAAACCTAAAGAGTGATTTACAAAATAGTAGTAAAAATGACAAAAGCACATAAAATCATTAACAAAATTATTAATGTATAAAAGTAGTATTAAAATGAAAAACTGAAAATATAGAAATAAAATCGAATTCAAAATATTAATAAAAACGATAATAGTGTGTAAATAATACAAAAATATTAATATTTAAAAAATAATAATAAAAATAATAAATGTACATCAAATTTCGAGAGTTTTTATTCATATTGATATTAATAAAACTATATTTTAAAAAATCTTACAGACCAACTTTTGAACAGTGGTGTATACATAGAGTATATATATATATATATATATAGTATATATATTATAACTGAAATCATAAAAGCTATTTCAAAACATTAATAAAAACGATAATATTTTATTTAATAAATGAAAACTGAAAATATGAAAATGAAAGCTCAAATATGAAAATGAAAGCTAATTCAAAAATGCTAATAAAAACTATAAAAGTGTATAAATAATACTGAAATATTAATAAAAAAAACTCAAATGAATAAAATGAAAAAAGCACATACATTCCTAAGAAAAACAGTATAAATAAAACTAATATTAAGATGAAAACTAAAAATAAAAGCTGTAATATAAACTATAATAGTATAGAAGTAAAAGCTCAGTTCTGTGTTCAGAGCCCAGTTTCGTCTTCGCCGATGTGATCCGAGAAGGACAGAACAGTCCGGATGGAGATGACGACATGTTGATGAGCAGGACTTAAAGCTTGTTTGGTATTTGAAACCACTTGTTCCTGTTTGGCTTGATTCATCGGTGCATGAGAGTCAGAGAATCACCTGCATCTGAGTAATCAAAAGTATGCAGATCAAAAGAAGTGGCACAACTGGATTATTTTTTATGCACAAGGGACTTTTCTTCCTTGTTTGTGTGTGTTTCAGGGGGAATGTCGGTCTGTCCGCCGTCTGTGCGTATAACATGAGCTCAGTGCACGAGGTTTTCTCCAAAGGGAAGTTCATGCAGAAGGCCACGGTGGAACAGTCCCACACCAAGTGGGTTCGATTTAATGGCATCACCCCGAGTCCCAGACCAGGAGCGGTTAGTATTTCCCCAAAACGGGGATTTCAGTGGTATATATGTGTGCTTATAGGATCCTTAGATTAGATGATGCTGGGAAGGGAATTAGTCATAAGAGTCTATAGAAAATAAAATTTAATAAATTGAAAATAAATTAATAAAAATAAAAAAGAATAAAATATTAAAATGAATAATTAAATTATAATGAATTTATTTTTTAAAAAGCATATGATGCATATGTAGGACAAGCAGTTTGGAAAATGAATGGATGTGAAATAAAATGCAAATAAAATTTAAATAATAAAAAAATAAACTAAATAAATAAAAAATGAAAAACTTGTTAAAGGAAGAATTATGGTTGTGAAATGAAAATAGATAAAAAATAAAATAAAAATAAATATCAATAAAATGTAAATAATAAAATAAAATAGTAAAACACATTATTTAAAAAATGATAAAATTAAATAATAAAAAATAAATAAAATAAAAAACAATTAAAAGCCCAAATAATAACTTAACAAATAAAAATTAATAACGTATTTTAGGAAATAAATATGTTCAAACAAGTAACATAATATATATATATATATAAAATTAAAAAAATAATTACAATTTTAAAAAAGCTTGTGACCCTACATAGGACAAGCAGTTTGGAAAATAAAATAAAAATTATTACATTAACTTACAGATTAATTGCTTTCATGCAATGATTATATATTCCAGTGCATCAACAGCCTGAACCGCATGCAGAACATCAACTCGTCCTTCCAGCTGCCCGATAAGACGCTGCAGTTTGTGAAGGACCATCCGCTGCTGGAGGACCCTGTGCTGCCCATCGGAAACGGCCCGCGCCTCATCACCAAAGACGTCAACTACACGCAGATCGCAGTCCAGAGAGTGCAGGCGCTCGATGGAAACATCTATGACGTCATTTTCACCGGCACCGGTGAGTGTGTGCAGCCAAATCTGTGAAACCACAGGTTCTGCTCATTTTCTTATTTTGTTCATCTCATATCTTGCTTATTTTCTTTTTTATATATATTTTATTATATATCATTTAGTATTTCTCAATACCTTATAATATACTTTATACTTTTACAATCAGGTAAATATAAATATAATATCCATACTTGCATATTTGTTCTGAAATAACTTCCGAGTCAAAGGAATCATTTTAATTTATAACCCCCAAATAATAGTAGAATTGAGTGAACAGCAATATTTAATTTATTTATTTTATATA